TGTGATTCGTCAGGGATTTAACATAGCTTTAATTCTTCCATCGCCCAGATTCACGACATTTCATGACTACCAAGCTGTGTATCCACACTGCAGCCAGTTGCGCCTTGAAACTGCAGATGTTAGTACTGCACTGTGGTCCCCTGAGACAACCGGGAAATGACCCACAACAAGACACCCGAAAAGAAAACAGAGAAAGCCTGCAAGATGCAAAAAACGGTTGCTTTGAGATTGTTCCATTTTGTTTCTCCTTGACAATGCTTGACAAGTCCTTGGTTCTTGACCACCGTTCTTGATAAAACGCTTGCATCATGCGGCTTGTTTGCCCTCCCAGCTCGCAAAGCTCAATTTTTTTTACGATTTGATAACGGCATAGTCGACCAAGTGCAAGCTACCCAGTACTAGTCATTGCAAATGCCACAAGTTCAATTTCGAGCCTTCAGGGAGGAGCAAAAAGGCGCTTGCATCACGCTGCGGTATGGGACTGGCTGCATGCTGTAGGCAGGCCACGCCGCAACTCAGCTGGGAACACTGGAACCCTGACCCAGTCTGAGACCCCATATCGTTCTTGCACACATGTATATATGTGTGTTATATAGATTTGCGTGTACACATTGTGAGTATGGTAGTTCTTTTACGTATACAGTAGCCTACAAATGCTGACATGAAGATACTGGTGAGACGAATCCTGAGCTGTGTTTGTCATAGTCAAATGGTGTGTGCTGCTTCTTTCCTGGCCCAGATGCCCTTCCACCCCGCCCCGATTAGTGAATTGAGCCTCACTGCCGCTAGCGAGTGATCCAAGGAGGTTAAATTTGTCAAATTCCCCAATTGACAAAAGCTAGCGAGCGATCTAAATAGGATTAAATAGGATTAAATAGGTTTGCTTTTCTAAAACCAATCTTCAACATTAAACCATGCTAGTTGCACCTCCTGCAGAATATCACCGATTGGATGGTGGCGGGGGCGGCCACTGCAGCCACTTCAGCCACTGTTGGCAGGGGAGTGAAGGGCATCTGGGCTGGGAAAAGAAGCAGTACACACTATTGGTCACTATTGAACTATGATAAATACAGCTCAGAATCTCACCAGGGCTTTACACTCCACGGCAAGCCGCTATCCAGCACATGTCCGCATCTGCTGCTCAGTCCGTTTGTCAAAAGACCCTCCGTTCGGAATGCCTCCACATGTCTCGAGTAAGCTGATTGCCAATCAATTAACTCTGATATAGTAAGTGCTGAAATAGAAGCCAACCATGCTAAAATATGCTAAAATAAGATTCTTTCCATGAGCCGTTGCGGTATGTAACAACTCATAATGTGGCGAGTGGCTCAAAGGCCTCCTGCACGCTACGACCATGGCGCAAAGCACTGAAGAAGTTCCTTGGCATCGAATCGTTGATCTGACCTCGATATGATCTCCTCGCTTTAGTTTTCTGCATGGTGTTTCTATGTTTTTCTTAGTTTCTTATAGGTTCTTTAAGTATTGATATGAATAAAAAATGGTCGATGAGCTATTCTGAATTCTGATAGTTCTGACGGGGAGACCAGGTAGCTACAAATCGATACACTGACGCAGCCAGAAGAAATTGGGAGATGGAAGAATGATGGATCATGGCAACTGCAACTGCCAAATATGTTACACAATGTATTTGATGAGTATTGCATCTGTATTTGATGTGTATTGCATCTGTATTGCATCTGTATTTGATGTGTATTGCATCTGTATTTGATCTGTATTGCATCTGTGTTGCATCTGTATTGCATCTGTATTGCATCTGTATTGCATCTGTATTGCATCTGTATTGCATCTGTATTTGCATCTGTATTGCATCTGTATTGCATCTGTATTGCATCTGTATTGCATCTGTATTGCACCTGTATTGCATCTGTATTGCATCTGTATTGCATCTGTATTGCATCTGTATTTGATGTGTATTGCATCTGTATTTGATGTGTATTGCATCTGTATTTGATGTGTATTGCATCTGTATTGCATCTGTATTGCATCTGTATTGCATCTGTATTGCATCTGTATTGCATCTGTATTGCATCTGTATTGCATCTGTATTGCATCTGTATTGCATCTGTATTGCATCTGTATTGCATCTGTATTGCATCTGTATTGCATCTGTATTGCATCTGTATTTGATGTGTATTGCATCTGTATTGCTGTATTGCATCTGTATTGCATCTGTATTGCATCTGTATTGCATCTGTATTGTATTGCATCTGTATTGATGTATTGCATCTGTATTGCATCTGTATTGCATCTGTATTGCATCTGTATTGCATCTGTATTGCATCTGTATTGCATCTGTATTGCATCTGTATTGCATCTGTATTGCATCTGTATTGCATCTGTATTGCATCTGTATTGCATCTGTATTTGCATCTGTATTTGCATCTGTATTGCATCTGTATTGCATCTGTATTGCATCTGTATTGCATCTGTATTGCATCTGTATTGCATCTGTATTGCATCTGTATTGCATCTGTATTTGCATCTGTATTTGCATCTGTATTTGCATCTGTATTGCATCTGTATTGCATCTGTATTGCATCTGTATTGCATCTGTATTGCATCTGTATTGCATCTGTATTGCATCTGTATTGCATCTGTATTGCAACTGTATTTGATGTGTATTGCATCTGTACTGCATCTGTACTGCATCTGTACTGCATCTGTATTGCATCTGTATTTGATGTGTATTGCATCTGTACTGCATCTGTATTGCATCTGTACTGCATCTGTACTGCATCTGTATTGCATCTGTATTGCATCTGTATTGCATCTGTATTGCATCTGTATTGCATCTGTATTGCATCTGTATTGCATCTGTATTGCATCTGTATTGCATCTGTATTGCATCTGTATTGCATCTGTATTTGATGTGTATTGCATCTGTACTGCATCTGTACTGCATCTGTACTGCATCTGTATTGCATCTGTATTGCATCTGTATTGCATCTGTATTGCATCTGTATTGCATCTGTATTGCATCTGTATTGCATCTGTATTGCATCTGTATTGCATCTGTATTGCATCTGTATTGCATCTGTATTGCATCTGTATTGCATCTGTATTGCATCTGTATTTGATGTGTATTGCATCTGTACTGCATCTGTACTGCATCTGTACTGCATCTGTACTGCATCTGTACTGCATCTGTATTGCATCTGTACTGCATCTGTACTGCATCTGTACTGCATCTGTATTGCATCTGTACTGCATCTGTACTGCATCTGTACTGCATCTGTACTGCATCTGTACTGCATCTGTATTGCATCTGTATTGCATCTGTATTGCATCTGTATTGCATCTGTATTGCATCTGTATTGCATCGTATTGCATCTGTATTGCATCTGTATTTGATGTGTATTGCATCTGTACTGCATCTGTACTGCATCTGTACTGCATCTGTATTTGATGTGTATTGCATCTGTACTGCATCTGTACTGCATCTGTATTGCATCTGTACTGCATCTGTACTGCATCTGTATTGCATCTGTATTGCATCTGTATTGCATCTGTATTGCATCTGTATTGCATCTGTATTGCATCTGTATTGCATCTGTATTGCATCTGTATTGCATCTGTATTCTGTACATCTGTATTGCTGCATCTGTATTGCATCTGTACTTGCATCTGTATGCATCTGTACATCTGTATTTGTATGCATCTGTATTGCATCTGTATTGCATCTGTATTGCATCTGTATTGCATCTGTATTGCATCTGTATTGCATCTGTACATCTGTACTGCATCTGCATCTGTATTGCATCTGTATTGCATCTGTATTGCATCTGTATTGCATCTGTATTGCATCTGTATTGCATCTGTATTGCATCTGTATTGCATCTGTATTGCATCTGTATTGCATCTGTATTGCATCTGTACTGCATCTGTACTGCATCTGTACTGCATGCATCTGTATTGCATCTGTACTGCATCTGTACTGCATCTGTATTGCATCTGTACATCTGTATTGCATCTGTATTGCATCTGTATTGCATCTGTATTGCATCTGTATTGCATCTGTATTGCATCTGTATTTGATGTGTATTGCATCTGTACTGCATCTGTACTGCATCTGTACTGCATCTGTACTGCATCTGTACTGCATCTGTACTGCATCTGTACTGCATCTGTACTGCATCTGTACTGCATCTGTACTGCATCTGTACTGCATCTGTACTGCATCTGTATTGCATCTGTATTGCATCTGTATTGCATCTGTATTGCATCTGTATTGCATCTGTATTGCATCTGTACTGCATCTGTACTGCATCTGTATTGCATCTGTATTGCATCTGTATTGCATCTGTATTGCATCTGTATTGCATCTGTATTGCATCTGTACTGCATCTGTATTGCATCTGTATTGCATCTGTATTGCATCTGTATTGCATCTGTATTGCATCTGTATTGCATCCTCATCAGCTCATGGCTTCATGTCAAGGCTCTGAGTAAAGCTGCGACAGCTTTCGTCGCGAACCTCACGATCATCGCGGACGCACACCTGGAGAAACTCGTAAGCAGCGCGACAGCAAAGAATGAACCGCTGCAAATCCCATAGGATCCATGGTGCTGGTATATATGCTAACATTTGGGATATATTGATGGGATCCATGTTACCATATATAGTATACATGGATCCTATGGGAATGACCATTCTGAAGAACTGTGAACTCAAATGTGTACAAGTACCGCAATGCGTTGCAAGTTGAGTCTTAAAGCATGAACGCATATGAAAGCACTGAACATCAATCTCCTTGATGCGAATGTACACGAATTGACAATGGCAATATCTTCACTTAATGCCAAGCTGAACCAAGCTGCAACATGCTGCACGCCAGCTGCGACAAAGCATTGCCCGACAGTCAAAGAGTGACAGGCGTTAAGGACCTGAGATTCAACAGTGCCAGGTCTGCTAGGTAAATCGATCAGATAAGAAGATCAAAGCAAATCTGTTGCGCGAAGGCTTCGGCTTGTATGCAAAGAAGAGATGTCAAAGAACGAATTTGATCATTTTATGATTCCCATAGGATCCATGTATGGTATATATACTAACATTGGGGGTATATTGATGGTAAATGTTACCATATATGGCATACATGGATCCTATGGGATTGAACAAATCCACAAACTTACTGCTTTGGAGCTCCCAGAGAGATGGGAAACCATGCAGTAACGTCGCCGGTTGATGAACTTCGAAAAAAACAAAAACTCTGCTTGACCGGCGAAGCGGCCACCAATTTGATGCATTGCAGGTCTTGCCCGGCTCGCAGAAGCCCTTCAAAATCCTCGTGCTCAAAGCGAGAGGTTCTTAGACTTGGGAGACTTGGGGCTGTCATGGGCTGTCTCAAGTTTGGAATCCAAGAATCCAAGAACCCCAAAATTTACAAATCCGATGGTTTATCGTCATATTTCAGCATCTGCATGGCCAAGAAAAAGCACCCCTAGGGTGTCAAGTTGACGACTCAACTCCGAATGGAGAGCCTAAGGACCCCTACCTTGGAAGCCATCACATGGGCTTTGCCTTGCATGTCTTCCAAGTACAAATGTTGAGCCTTGCAAGAGAGGCTGCATGGGTTTTGCTTGAAGGTTTCACTGAAGTCGGATACAACCAAGACCCACAAGGAAAGCACCGGAAACGCCAAACATCGCCAAACAGAAATGAAGACTCATCCTGCAAAACTGGGCAGGCCTGCAACAATCATCAACTCGAGTTCTTTCCAATAATCCCATGATCCAATGCCGGTTGAGACTCCAACGACCGAAGAATTTTAGAGCTGACCCCAGAAGAAACCCCAGACCCAAGCTACTTGACCTGCCCAGAGGAGCAATGAAGAGCCAAGTGAAGCACCTGGACAGCCAGAAGCTTCTCAGAAAGATCTACGTCTGCCATAAATGACATGTCTGACATGGTGCCATAAATATCCATAAATCATCAGAAATTAAATTCCTCAGGCCAACTTTGTTGCCTACATAGAAAGTGCTTGCTATGATGAGGTATGTGACGGATATGAATGTGCATGATCTCGGAATAATTTGCTATGACTGCTAGGGAAGAAATGCTCAAGCTGAAAATCTGAAGTCTAGATAGTTAAAAGACATGAGAACAACTCAAAACATGGATTGGGTGGGTCGAAATTTGGGTTCCCCAAGAAAACTGGATGACTAGTGCATCGCTAGCACTAACAATGACCAAACCCAACAGAAAAAAAGGATTGCTGACCAACACTCAAGTTCAAAAAAGAAACCTGTGGCTGGTTAACACTATAAATTGAGTCAAAACAATTAAAGCCTGTTGCGTGAAGTTTCACGTTTGAATCATCCAATAACCAGTACATGTTTTTCTCAAAACATTTGCCATGGTTTATCTGAAGATGGGATACAGTAACCCAAATTCCTATAATATATAATTATATTATTATATTGATATATTATATAGGTTATATATTATATATTATTATTGTTACGTATATTAATTTATATTACCCTCTGGTAAATTAACTTGCTGACCCTGAAAATCACCCATTTTTCGTGGTTTCACTCATCTTCCAACCCCCAACAACTGCCAGGGTCTGGTGACCCCATGTGACCGCGCCTCACAGTCCCTGGCTGCGATGAGGCGCCGGAAGTTCTCCGACGTCAAGGCTCCGGGCAGCGCCACGCAACCGCTGCGCCGGACCTCGGCCACCTGAGATTCACCAATTTTCATGGTTGAAGATTATTTCACTGGATTGGTTTAAGGGAAAATTTTAACCGGAAAACACCATATTTGATGGGAAAATCCATGGTTTCCGGTTAATAAATGATGGTTAATTTTAATGATGGCTACTGGCTGATACATTAATGGGCAATGATGGTTGACAGTGGTTAATAAATGATGGTTAATGATGGTTACTGATGGTTACTGATGGTTAATGTCACTGGATTGGTTTAAGGGAAAATGTTAACCGGAAAACACCATATTTGATGGGAAAATCCATGGTTTCCGGTTAATAAATGATGGTTAATTTTAATGATGGCTACTGGCTGATACATTAATGGGCAATGATGGTTGACAGTGGTTAATAAATGATGGTTACTGATGGTTACTGATGGTTAATGTCACTGGATTGGTTTAAGGGAAAATTTTAACCGGAAAACACCATATTTGATGGGAACATCCATGGTTTCCGGTTAATAAATGATGGTTAATTTTAATGATGGCTACTGGCTGATACATTAATGGGCAATGATGGTTGACAGTGGTTAATAAATGATGGTTAATGATGGTTACTGATGGTTAATGTCACTGGATTGGTTTAAGGGAAAATTTTAACCGGAAAACACCATATTTGATGGGAAAATCCATGGTTTCCGGTTAATAAATGATGGTTAATTTTAATGATGGCTACTGGCTGATACATTAATGGGCAATGATGGTTGACAGTGGTTAATAAATGATGGTTAATGATGGTTACTGATGGTTACTGATGGTTAATGTCAATGGATTGGTTTAAGGGAAAAATTTAACAGGAAAACACCATATTTGATGGGAAAATCCGAATGGTTTCCGGTTAAGATTTTCCCAGCAAAACCAATCCATTGATTATTGAAGTGAGATTGAATTGGTGGTATGAATGGGCATACATTAACATTAACATACATTTTTTGTATATACATAAGTATATCGTTTATACACAGTGGGTGTGCTTGGCAAAGTTGATGAACAAATAAGATGATTGTTCAGAATGATATGATGTAATATTGATATGATCTGATATTGATACTGATATTGATACTCAGATATTGACATTGATAATGTGTTGATTGAAAGAAATCTTATCTTTCTTGCAAGCGCTTCCGTGCAGAATCTTCCGTGCGCCCTTCTACTGGTGAGAGCCAAAGACCCACACCTCTTCTTCCACATCAAGTTGGGGCAGTGGCCGCATTCCCCGGAAGATCAGCCTGGAAAAACACTTGGAATGCGGCTGAGTTCAGGTTTATTACCATCTGCTTATGACTAACACTTCGCCATGGAAGCCATGGCCCATAGAAATAGATGGTTTACCTAGCTATAAAATATTAAAAATGGGTGGATTTTCCATGGCCATGTTAAATAACCAAAGGGTAAAAAGAAAAACAGAACTTCAAATCAGTACAGACTACTATGGTGCAAGCCAGTTCGTGCTCTCCATTTCCTGCACTCTGATACAAGTCATTGCAAGAATCAACCACAAGCAATCACAAGCAGTTCTTGTGATCTTGGTTTCATGAGTATCATTAATAAACTTACTGACTGTGAGCCACTTTACATGCTCAAATGCCTTCAAGCCAATCACGATGCGAAAGTGCAATTGTGTGAGGGAATACCCTGGATAGCTAGGCATGAGCAGCCAGCATAGACATCATCTGGGCATGTTTGAAGACAGGAGGCTGCAGATTCAATGGCCCACCATTTCGTGGCTGATTTGCCAAAAGCCGGGCAAGAACCTCGGCATTTCTTGCAGTCTGTGGTATTTCAGATCAAATGTGCAGGTTTGATTTGCTCGTGAGCTATCTCTGCCACAAGTTTCAGTCCTAATTTGCAATCCCACTACTGTGGTGACTGGGGACCAACACAGGTCTGCTTGATGTCTCCGCAAACCATCCAAATCTATATGATACACCGTTGGATCTCAAGGAAATATACATCCGTTGATCTAGTTATTCCATGTCATTCCAAGGATCTGCAAACAGCGGCTGATTCTGCACGAAGCTCTGCAAGCCACCTGTAAAACAGAAGGAACGGGAGGGATAGTGGATGATGGTAGTATCACCCATGTTATCAACGTTCATATATGTAGCCAGTCTCTTTTGCAGCCCAGATATGAGAATGCCTAACCAATCCCTAACATACGGATAGCTGTGATAGTTGATCCCCAAGATTCCAATCAGCAATAAGTAGATGGTTCAAAACCCATTACCTCCTATTGCAACATAGTAGTTGGGGGAGATGAAGATCCACTTACCTGCTATCTTGGTGTTCACCATGCTACAGGGTTTTGACGCATATGACTCATATGACTAATTATATAGTATCACTGGAACTGTTTATGGGAAAACTTGCAGGATACCATCAGATTTCCCATCAAAAATCAGGGTTTGCAAGGTGACCTGTGAATTTTCCCATCAGCCAATTCTGGGATAATAAGGAACGAGTAAATCCTTTAATAGTAAAGTGTAAAGTGTTCCCATCATCATTCATGGTGAATTGCCATCAAAATAGTAAGGATATACATACATATATATATAATATATACACACACACCCGATATAATTCTGATTTCCCATGGGTTTGCCATCAAATTGCAAGGAATTGTAAGGAATCCGATCGTTCCCTTCCCATCACCATCATCAGATAGAAAGGAAGAAGAACACATTGTCTGGGATTTCCGCAACCTGGCACAGGGTTAACGGCCCATTTCTGGGAGGCTCTAAGCCTCTGTTGGGTAGCGATCCGCCAGGGTGCGCTGGCGAATCGCTGCCAGCTCTTTCAAGAGAATGATATCACTGGCACAGTTTTGTCGTGGCCAACCAAGCTGCTGGAAGAAGGTGTCCACAGGGATTTGAATGTTGGAGGTGCGCAGCACCGGGCAAATCCACTCATGATCACGATCAGGCCAAGCGTGGCCACAATAGTGACACGGTCGCACCTGAAGCCCACGGGTGTGGTCAAAGCGCCCTTGGGAAACCCATTTTCCAGTGGCAATTGCTAGGATGTGAGATGCGAGAATCTGCTCCTTGTCGAGAAGTCTTCGCACTAGGTCAAATCTGAACTTGATGTTGGACCAAGTCTCCGTAGAGAGTTGGCGAGCTGGTTTTGAGCGACTTTTCAAGAACTCGGCCCATTTGTTTGGCCTCCAAGCATCACGGAGGGTGTGGGCCAATAGTTCGGCTTCACAATTACTCAGGTAGATCACGGTCGTGGCCTGGTCAGCATAGTGAATATCCGTAGTGATGGTGATGGCAGCAGCTTCGTGGGTCCAGTGATGGGGACCCCTTTCCTGCCATCCTTGGCGCTTCATCCAAGTTCGCAGCAAGTTGCACGGGCCTTGTTGTTGGCATGTGCTCCAAGTGAAGTTGTAGTGTTTGGTCAAGATGTAGTGGCTCTGTCGGAAACCAATCATGAAAACTGCGTCAGCTGTGTGTCCTCGAAAAAGAGGCTTCAAATGACCATCGGTGTTGTCAATCGCATTGATTGAAGATTGGAATTTCGAAATTTCAGCAAGTGCTGGGAGTCGGGACCAAGATCCAGCGGCTGCCTTGGCGATCGCTGTTGATTTGGCGTAGTACACCTTCTCCTTGGTGGTGATTGGCAATGCTTTTGCCAAGTGGCACAGCTTTGTGGCTTGCTGAAGCCGCGCTGATTCTGCTTCTGTGGGCCCAGTATAGGCCCTGGTGGTTTGAAGGTAGGTGCCAAGAAGCTTTGGTCGTTCGCGGACTGTGCCGGAGATGTCGAGTGCTTGTAACGTGGCATTCATTGATCTGCGGTTGTGGATGCCACCCGTAGCTCCAAAATCTTTTTTGCCTTCATTTTCCCGAAGGCCAAGGTACTGAGCTTCATGCTCCCAGGATCTGGCAATCTGGGCACAGTGCAAGGGTTGTTTGGTCATCCAAGAACGGTCATCGATATACACAGTATGGTGAGATGTAGGGTAAGCAACTTTGATTCGTGCCGTGGCCTCAGCAAGCGGAATTATGAGTCCGAGTGGTGACATGGGATCGCCTTGTGGCAGGGCTTGGCATAAATCAGGAGCGTCAGGTGCATGCTGGGGTGTGCACAGCCAACGTTGCTGTGTTGACCATGCGGCCAGTAGGGTGCGCCATATGCGCGGTGGCACGTGGAATCTCGAGAGTGCTTGTGCTGCAGTAATGCCATGTATTCGGTCAAAGGCTTTTGAGAAATCGGCGCGGCCAATGAATCTGTATGGCTCTTCTGCACGCATCGTTGGGTTCGTGCTTTCTTCAAGCTTTTGGAGCACTGGCATCAACGCCGTGTGGATACCTTTATGCTTGATGCCACCATGTTGTTCTGGTGGCATGTTGGTCTGGATCCACTCTGCCATTTCTTGAATGCGTGCACCGGACCACATGCGGTAGAAGATGCTAGCAATGCTGATAGGTCGAAGGTTCGCGACCTCTGGTGGCTTATTGGGTTTGCTCAGGTGGATTGTTCGCCACTGTCGTAGGATGTTTGGCCAGTGTTGCTGATGTTCAATGTGTTGGAAGAGGGTCGCCATGATGTGAAAGGCCGCATCAGGGAGGTGGATGATTTCAGCTCCACCCCAAGCGTCGATGCCTTTGGCTTTGCTGATTTGCTTTCGGGCCATCTTCCGGAGTAGTGGGATCGGAATGGTAGTAGAAATAGTAGGTTCTTGCTGGTGTGGCCATGGGATATGTCGGGCCTCCGCTTCTTGTTGATGTTTATGTCTCGCCAATATTGTCGAAGGGCGTAGAGATCTTGTTGTTGGACAAACGTCACCGGAGTAGTAGCTTTGTCTCTGGCAAGCCATTGCCAGATTGCTTTCGGCTTGGTGCGCAGCCGAGTTCTCCAGGCCTGTATACGTGCTGTTTGTTGTCGATTCTCTTCGTGAAGGATCTGTTGTTCGATCCATGCTGCACATTGGTCTTTGTGCTGTGCTTCGGCAGGATTGTAGGGACATTGAGTATCCCGTGCATCCCGTTCGAGGTTGGTTTGTATGTTGTTGAGATGATGGTCCCTGTTGGAGTTGTTGTGGTTCCACATCTCTTGGTGTCTGCGCCAGAATCTCCGCAACCGTGCACACCGGGTTGACGTGGAGTTCTGGGGATGGCTGCGGTGATGTCTGTAGATCTTTTGAGTCTTAGCCTGTTGCGGCTTGTGAGAATTGCTCTGAAAATGGCGTTGTTGCTGTGGAGAAAGTTCCGTCCAGAACTTGCGCATGGTGCGCCGAAAGGCGTTGTCCATGGTGGTGGTGAATGCTTCCCATGTGTCAATGGGCTCTGCTGTTGCCGCGGCTGTGTGCCATTCCTCTGCCAGCGTAGATTCCCATTATTCGGTGGGAACAGTTTCTGGCTTTTCGTAGTTGGGAGATGGGGGAAATCTTCTGGTGGCAGTATTAATTGCAAAAACGGGGGGTCTCCGGTAGTGAATTAACTTATGGTCGGCAAATTATTCCTGTCTGATTTGTCTAGGCAGTTGTTGGATGCCCATCTGGTGGCTGCGGGCTGATTTTCTTGGTCGGCGAAATCAGGGTCGAGGTCATCGGGATTATTAGGGTCAGGACTAATAGTAGGGTAAATTACATCCGCGCCAAGGGCTGCTGACCATGTGGTCATGTCATCTGTGATGGGGTCATGGTTGAATCACCTCCGCAAAAACAAGTGGTTGCACCGATGCTGGCAAGGTCTTCTGAGAGTGTTTTGTTCCAAGCCTCCTTGTGCTGTGCAGTCGCGTTCGGTTGGCGATATGCTGAGGTGATGTAGATGGGACCAACTGCAATACGTAACCATTCCCCGGCTTGGTTGTGATAGCCGGTAGCCTGCGAGCAGTTGATGTTTTTGTGGACTGCAATGGCCACACCTCCTGTGGGTCGCCGTCCATGGGGGCTGTTTTGTGTGGCAAGAGATGGGTAATGGAAAAAATGCCAATCCTTGCTAGATCGGGCTATGCTGTTGCCTTGGTCCTTGGTGAGAAAGGTCTCTTGGAGAAGGACCACTTGGATATTTTCTTTTTTGGCCAAATTAAGGACGTCCCATCCGCGTTGATGGAAGGATCGGATGTTGATCTGCCAAATGTTCAGGTTTGTGTTGCTGTGAAATCTCGGGCCAGGGTTTGGTTCAATACCCTGTTCTGTGAGATCCTGCCAGTGCCGCTTGAGGCCTTGCTTCTTTTCTTGGGTCATATCTTGGTTTGGGTTGGCTGCGCGGGCTCTGAGAATGTGCAAGGATCTTTTGGGGACGGCAACAAAGGTGGTGTTCGCGTTTGCTGCGCCTGTCGCCTTGCGAGCGTCAGTGGATCTGCCGTGCTGTTTCCGCCAAGAGCTTCGTAGTTCTTTCAGCCTTTGATTGTAATGCTTCGTGTTGGTGGGCTTATGTGGTTTTGATTGCTTGACCGTCTCAGCGAAGAAAGCATCTTTTTCTTTAAGCTGATCGTCGGTCCATCGCACTGCTGTGGCCAGTGTTTGTTTTTGAGCTGGTGACAGGTTTGCCCACCAGCGTGCTCTGTTAATGCTGCGAGTGGAGGGGTCACAATTGTAAGCTGTGACCTTGGCCGTGGTACCTCTGCTGAGGCATGTGGTGCAGAGCCATGTTGTTTGTTTTGGGAAGATCTCTTTGAGGCCAGAGTTCTGGATGTGGATCATAGTGTGGTCATGGCCTTGTTCTTGGGCCTGCTTTGCTCGCATGAGAGCTCTCTGGGTGTTGTTTTGTTGGCCCGGTAGTGGAGCTTGGTGAGGCTTGAGGTTGTGGGCCGTCTTGAGATGTTTCGCTCTGTAGTACTTACCGCCGTTCCATCCTTTGATGGGGACCTCTTCGTGGCATATCGGGCAGGTCCAGTTGTACCATTCATTGTTATGTATTGGGCGTGCATCGTCATGTTTCCGGGTCTTTTCGGATGGGAAGTTCTTCTTGGGAACCGTGCTCGTGCTGGCTTGGTTAGAAAGGAAGAAGAAGAACACATTGTCTGGGATTTCCGCAACCTGACACAGGGTTAACGGCCCATTCCTTGGAGGCTCTAAGCCTCTGTTGGATAGCGGTCCGCCAGGATGCGCTGGCGAATCGCTGCCAGCTCTTTCAAGAGAATGATATCACTGGCACAGTTTTGTCGAGGCCAACCAAGCTGCTGGAACAAGGTGTCCTCGGGGATTGGAATGTTGGAGGTGCGCAGCACCGGGCAAATCCACTCATGATCACGATCAGGCCAAGCGTGGCCACAATAGTGACACGGTCGCACCTGAAGCCCACGGGTGTGGTCAAAGCGCCCTTGGGAAACCCATTTTCCAGTGGCAATTGCTAGGATGTGAGGTGCGAGAATCTGCTCCTTGTCGAGAAGTCTTCGCACTAGGTCAAATCTGAACTTGCATGATGTTGGACCAAGTCTCCGTAGAGAGTTGGCGAGCTGGTTTTGAGCGACTTTTCAAGAACTCGGCCCATTTGTTTGGCCTCCAAGCATCACGGAGGGTGTGGGCCAATACAATTACTCAGGTAGATCACGGTCGTGGCCTGGTCAGCATAGTGAATATCCGTAGTGATGGTGATGGCAGCAGCTTCGTGGGTCCAGTGATGGGGACCCCTTTCCTGCCATCCTTGGCGCTTCATCCAAGTTCGCAGCAAGTTGCACGGGCCTTGTTGTTGGCACGTGCTCCAAGTGATGTTTGGTTAAAATGTATTGGCTCTGTCGGAAGCCAATCATGAAAACTGCGTCAGCTGTGTGGCCTCGAAAAAGGGGCTCCAAATGACCATCGGTGTTGTCAATCGCATTGATTGAAGATTGGAATTTCGATAATTCTGCAAGTGCTGGGAGTCGGGACCAAGATCCAGCGGCTGCCTTAGCCATCGCTGTTGATTTGGCGTAGTACAACTTCTCCTTGGTGGTGATTGGCAGTGCTTCTGTGGGCCCTGTATAAGCCCTGGTGGTTTGAATGTATGTGCCAAGAAGCTTGGGTCGTTCGCGGACTGTGCCGGCGATGTCGAGTTCTCGCAACGTGGCTGCCATTGATCTGCGGTTCTGGATACCGCCTGTAGCTCCAAAGTCTTTTTCCCCTTCATTTTCCCGAAGGCCAAGGAACTGAGCTTCATGCTCTCAGGATCTGGCAATCTGGGCGCATTGCAAGGGTTGTTTGGTCATCCAAGAACGGTCATCCATATATACAGTATGGTGAGATGTTGGGTATGTTATTTTGATTCGTGCCGTGGCCTCAGCAAGGGGAATTATGAGTCCTAGTGGTGACATGGGATCACCTTGCGGCAGGGCTTGGCATGAATCAGGAGAGTCTGGTACATGCTGGGGTGTGCACAGCCAACGGTGCTGTGTTGACCACGCGGCCAGTAGAGTGCGCCATATGCGTGGTGGCACGTGGAATCTGGAGAGTGCTTGGGCTGCAGTAATTCCATGTATTCGATCAAAGGCTTTGGAGAAATCAGCGCAGCCAGTGAATCTGTATGGTTCTTCTGCACGCATAGCAGGGTTCGTGCTTTCTTCCAGCTTTTGGAGCACTGGCATCAACGCCGTGTGTATACCTTTATGCTTGATGCTACCGTGTTGTTCACCCGGCCATTTCTTGGATCCACCCGGCCATTTCTTGGATGCGTGCACCGGACCACATACGGTAAAAGATGCTGGCAATGCTGATGGGTCGTAGGTTCGCGACCTCAGGCGGCTTATTGGGTTTGCTCAGGTGGATTGTTCGCCAGTGTCGTAGAATGTTTGGCCAGTGCTGCTGTTGCTCGATGCGATGGAAGAGTGTCGCCATGATGTGAAAGGCCGCATCTGGGAGATGGATGATTTCGGCTCCACCCCAAGCATCGATGCCTTTGGCTTTGCTGATTTGCTTTCGGGCCATCTTCCGGAGGGTGAGAATCGGAATGGTTGTTGAAATGGTTGGTTCTTGCTGGTGCGGCCAGGGGATATGTCGGGCCTCTGCTTCTTGTTGATGTTGGGCTGATGGCTCAGTTGGCCATCAGATAGAAAGCACATTTAGGAATATTTTCAGCTACTACCTAATATGATGAGAATATCCTCAATATTGGCTGATAGGATATCCATGGATATCCCTAAATAATATGTGTGTGAGAATATCCTCAATATTGGCTGGTAGGATATCCCTAAATCATATGGAGGTTTCCTAAAATGGAGGTACCCCAATAGCTGGATGGTTTATAATGTCAACCCTGGATTAATCAACCCCTAGGCTGTTTAAGTGGGAAGGTACCATTTCAGTATCAAATCATAACTATTGGGGGGAATACCCCCGGATTAATAAACCATGGTTTATTAATTAGGGGGGTACTCCTCCAATAGTCATAGTCTGATACTTAAATTTTACCCTCCCAATTAAACAGCCGTTTGGGGTTTATTAATCCAGGGTTGACATTAATGGAAAACTATGCATGTACCCCATCACCAAAGCTCAAGACATCGCCCTGGGCCTGCCAGCTGCATCTTGGGCGGCTGGGCACTGCGTGTGGGCGATGCTGCGGAGGTCGAGGTCGATGGAGGCGGTGCCTGAGCCGGGGTTGACCATCAAACATCTGGCTTTAAAGATTTTTAAGGAACAAAAACCTTGAATTTTTGTTGACCAACAACTTGAGGTTACAGAACTCTTAACTTGATTTTGGAGAAATCCACGGTCAATCAATGGATTGATTGATGGGGGGAAGTCGACAGGAACCATGTCTTCACCCCCGAAAATTTGGGGTGTGTGCTGCAAATTTTCCCTTCAAGCAAGCCTGAGACATAAGTCGCTTAAGAGTGTATCGTCTCGGAGAAAATCAATGGAGGTTAAGGATGCTTTAAGAATATTTAGATGTCTTGGGTGTGCAGAAGGACCCGCTAAGAAAAGCTGCCCCAAACCTATGCCTGATCAAGTGCCCTGTGCTAAACGCGATTCATGTCTTCATCCGCCTTCCTTCCTCCTCTAGAAATTCCGCATCAGCAACTGCACACTTAAACCATTTACATGCAGAGGAGTGAGTGACATTTTGTGAACGGGAGAGTCTGCTGCTGAAATGGATCCCGGTTCTTCCTATAGCGTTGTATGCATAGCCTACATTGAGTCCAACATGGTTCAGAACAAAATACCGTAAGGCATCTTCTGCTGGCAATACGTCCAAACATGGAGAATATTAGGCGGAATGGAGAGAGAAGTTTTCAAAGAAGCACCTTGCGGACAACCTTTGCTCTCACTCTTTGGATCTTTTTGGCCAAGCAGCTGGTTTGGTGGTTTCCACACTTGTAGCGGGTCCGGGTGTCACGATCACCTTATACACCTCATCTCCAGGTCGCAACATCGCCTAGGGGCATGTGGACAGTGCGTTTCATGTTCCACCCAGGTTCCATCCACGACCCGCCTCTGCATGTGTTTGCGAGAGGTTTTGCTCTTTGGCCATTCCAAATACAGCCAGAAGCCGCGCAGGTTCCAGAGGTTCAAAGCTGAAGCCCCAAGTCGCATACTGAGATTTGAAGAATGCCTTCACGGACAAGTTTCAATGATCAAGGCATGAGAAGCTTCAACAATAGATTTCTCCCAAGATAGCAGCTGTTATGATTTTGACATGCTCAAAGAGAAATCCATGTCCATGATGATGTTCCTTGCATTTCAAACCTTGAAAAGCCAAATCCATGACAAGGGTTCAATTCGGCCTCCAGATTGCTGTCAGGCAGCGGAGGCACAGGCACTGTCAAGGCCACAGGCCGCTCGACGCAAAGCCTCACTGCGCCACTCTCGGCATCTTTGAAGATAAATCGTACTAGTGGGGTGTGTCTCGAAATTGGGTACCGATAAATCCAAGATAAAAAATAAGCATCTTTCCATTGGCCCATTGCCCATACAGTATCCGGGCTGTCAGCTCTCATCTTTCAGACACTTCCAGTTACAGTAATTAGCTGCTAATATCTGCTGCTAATTACATCCAATTACTGTAGCTGCCATGATCTCCCACGGCTGACATGCCCAAGTGGCGGAGAGGAGAACAGCACATGGCAACGCAGCGGTTGAAGCGGTCTCCGGTCCTCAGACAGGATCTGCCCATCCAGTCGTTCTGAAGAGCAAGAAGCGACAGAAGGTGTCCGGACGAGCATTTCCTGGCGGATGCCCATCCTTTAAAAAAAGGGTTTGGAAAGGGTCTTTCAGAATTTAGATGAATTTAGGAAATGAACAGAGACCGGAGGATTCAAGAGATTTCAATAGTGAGATGTCCTACTCAAATTTGAAATTGGAGCCAGCTGCTTGCCGATCTCCGTCAACAAAAAGAGCATCTCATTTACATTTGCCCGGCATCCTTCAGCATAACCATGCATAACCCAACCATCTCGCTTGAGAGTCACCGGTCATCATTTCTTTCACAATGTTTCTACACGGAACCAGCCTCTTCATCCTCCAAGCTTCCACTGGCATCTCGGCTCGCCTTTCCGTAGTGTCAGAGTCAGACACCACTGCGGACAGTTCTGTCTAGGGAAATAAACCAGAAAACTAATTGACTAATTACAGTTTGAGTATTGTACAAGAATTCACTGTATAAGAATTTGAAGGGCTCGAATCCAAGGCGGGCTACATATTTTCAGCCATACCAGCCACATAGTACTTTTACAATTTGAGGGACCCTGGAATAGGGTTGCCAAATTCTTAAACTACTGTTTACACGTGAGGTTTGCAATTCCCCTTTGCGGTTCTTTTTTGTGGTGTGACCCCTTATGGTCTTATGGGATGAAATCGGGCTTTGCAGAAAAACATTTTTTCAAGCTCCGACAAATTGTATTTTTCACACATGTTTGGACTGCATCCAATCCACACAAAATGAATATGTGGGTAGACTTGGGGAATGTTGGGGACCTGAAACGTTGTTTTCCCCAATGACTTGAAGAAAACTGAGGTTTTGCAGAAAAACAATTTTTCAAGCTCCGAAAAATTGTATTTTTCACACATGTTTGGACTGCTTCCAATCCACGCAAAATCAATATGTGGATAGACTTGGGGACCTGAAACATTGTTTTCCCCCATAACTTAAAGAGTGCACCGCCAAGCTCGGCTTTGCAAAAAACTTTTTTTTCAGGCTCTAAAAAAATATTTTTTTTCGCATGCCTCTTGTCAAATCACCCCGTTACCTCGTTTAAGCTCGCTCCAAATTGTGCAGATGCATGCAATACATAACTAAGAATGCTCTAAGAATTTGAGGGACCCTCGGCCTATTGTGGTGTAAATTTGCGTGCATTTAAAAATAAGAATTTGAGGGACCCTGGTCCTCAAGCTTTCGGATTCTCAACCAGCTCTCGGGCTGTATTACTATAGAATGGATGCACATGGAAACCGCTGGCCTGAATCTGGTCCTCTGCCTCGTCAATTTTTTCCTCATCAAATTTTGACAATCTTTGTCGAGTTCGCGCATGTGCTCTCTCCTGATGGTCACAGGCCAGGGAAACAAACTCGAGTTCTTCCAAGCCTCCAGATGTGGGATGGTTAATGCTGCCAGTGTTGGCAAAGATAAGTTCTCTGCAGCTTGGGCAAAACTTGGACCAGGAAGCTTTGATGAACATCCAGCCCCGCTATTTAAAGCCGACAAGATCTCCGGTGCCTGGATTTTGATAGCCTGGAGTCGCTTTTGTCGCATCAGAGACAAACCCCAAATAACATCAAATAACAATAAATAGGGAAAATGATCTTCATTCCACCAATTTAAACATCTATATATCATTACCCAACTTTCAAGCCATGTGTTTGTTGGATGTCAATGGAACCCATCTTTTCTCATCCAGTCCTCCGCCAAAACACACACCGGTCGTGGCCGCGGCGCCCGCTTCTCTGCTCGCACTGCGAAGGCCGTCGTTCCCGCAGCCTCGTCCACATCCCAGAAAGCGTAGGATGATACGAGTAACAGTACAGACGAAAGGAAAATTAACATTCCCATAGGATCCATGTATGCTATATATGGTAACCCGAATCCCATCAATATACCCCCAATGTTAGCATATATACCATACATGGATCCTATGGGATTGAACAACATTGAAGAACATTGAATAATTAACATAGAAGGCGCGAATAGATACCTGAAATTACCTGAAGCAAGCAAACCCTTCAACAGTGTCTCATAATTGAACACCGGCAAACAGTTCAACACTGCAGCAAAGGATCTGAAGCGCCGTGCGGCACGAAACTGCGTAGTGCTACGGCTTGTGCAGCTGGTGCAGTAGAAACATCCTGGGCCTTTCCCTTGCCCTTGGAGAACTTCTTGGCCTTCTTTTTGTCCTCCTTCACCTGGCGCAAGGGAATATGACAATTTGAATCAATTTGTTCTTTAAAATGTGCTTAACTGTCTAACGCTTCGTTTGCGGTTCATTTGTTTGACTTCCCTCCGCAAATCCGGCCAAAGGCCTGGGTGGCTTCCAAAGCTTTGTGAGATTATGGACACAGCATACTATGTAATGAGGTAGCCGACTGGTTTTCGTCCCTTCAGTTCGTTTCACGAAAACTTGCGACCTATTGTTAGCAAAGCCAACTCACCTATGCGCAGCTTTATTTCTCTCCCACATCCCTCCCAGACTCCACAAAGGTCTCTCTCCAATGTGTGCAGGAAATGTTTTCTTCTATGGCCTCCTTGCTTTGCTTCCGTGCTGTTGAGAGCTGAGTGGTTTGATCCTGAGGCTGGTGGAAAGGGACCAACCAGCCACATTCAACAACATCTGCTGGAAGTCCAGCCAGAGTTCCTAATATTATTTACTACCTTTGCACAAAATCTGGCAGCCAAACAAATGGGTACAAATGGATTGGTGCCAACCAAGACAAGAGGCCTTTCTCAGAGCGGAAGAAGAACTCCTCAGGTTTCAGACTGCTACTAGTCTCTGCAACTTCGTGCCAAAGCATTACTAAACGGGGTGTTCATGTTTGCCGATAATGACCGAAAGTGGTTGCTCTTTATATTATCTGCCAGCCAAACACTGTTCAAGCGGCCTCGACTCCTGAGAAATGCCCAAGGCGCCCTCTGAACCTTGAATGAAGCAGAATCAATAGATTCAATAGATGCCTTTCTCATCCGAAAGGGGACTGATATAGCATGTATGAAGATCTGAGACTGCAAGTATGTTGTTCATCATAAGATCCAGAAGGGAATCTGAGAAGCAGCAAGGCAAATGATACCGAACATTTGCAAGTGGCAAAAAAACAGTAAGCACTTGCTCTTCTCCTATCCGTATTTTTTGGGATGAAACTTTTAAATTTCAGTAAGTACACTCTACCCGGCTGCAATTCTATTTAGACACCAGAACTGTTTCCTTACAACAGGCTAACACTTCTCAATGTTCAGTGTATTATCCTGCTGAGGTCCAGTCCTCTTAAGTCGGCCTCATCACAATCCACAGAGTCATCATCCTGATCCTCGAAGGTAGACATTGAGCAAAAACAAGAACATTTGGAGATTCATCCAACTCAACAGCCCTGTATATTATATACATACAACTCTCAGAGCTTGCTCTTGCAAGCCCAAAAAATAGGCAGCACCCTTATAATGTCTGTGGACATGAGCATACATGAACAAGCACATGGTTTGGTTTTAAGGCTTCCTTCAAAGTAAACAATTTTCACGCTACTTACTTGGGCCTGTGTACTACATTTGCTATCATTGACCGTATGTTGGCGTGTGTATGTCTAGCAGCTGTAGTCATCCCAAACCTGTAGTAACTTAGTAATCATCCCCCAACACTTGCAACCCCAAAAATAATCCCCCAACCATTGCAACCCCAAAATGAACTTCCAATCAGCTAATACAACATCCTAATAATAACCCCTCCAAAAAATGATGAAAATCCAGTAGATTCGGCCTCGGCAAAGAAGTCCTCCTCTGCCCGCGCTGATGGGGCCGATGCAGCACCCACCACAGGCACAGCCGGTGGGGGCGGGCCCTCCGGCGATCAAACATGGCTTTCTGAAAAAATCACCATGTAGTTGAATGTTTTTTCTCATTAAAACCGTAACCAAAATTTAGTTTGGGTTTTCCCATTGTGATTACCGGATGGTAAAAGATGTTAAAGCTGCAGCTGCACATTTAAAACTGCACATTTAAAGCTGCTCATCAAATATGATTGAATGAATAATACAAAGCATTGGAAAGAAACACAATTGAAGAACTGCTCATCTGACTCATCTGATTCTGGTACTGTAGATGCTTGTCATCATGTCATCAGATCTGTATTTTTCTTTGGATCTTTATATCTATTTTATATCTACATAATGTATATCGGTCTGAAGGTCACGCAGCAGGTTCCCCTTCCTGCAAGTGTCGAGGCATTCCATGGGGAGCTGAAGAATGTCTTGCCTGATGGCACAACAGGATCCCTTCAAAACTGAGAACGGCCAAGAACCAACGGAGTGTTGCGAAGCAAATACAGATTGGCGCAACACCAACCAGGCTCCGATCTACGAAAGACATTCAGTGCCCCTCCTGAGACTCTCGAGCACCGAGACTTGCAATGCTTTGTTCTGCCAGGGCAGGCGTGGACCCCCAAAGGCCGTTTCTGAGCCTGCCAAGTGAACTGTGGGAAACTTAAGTCGCACAGTGGCACAGCTGTGTTAAACGCTGCGTTTTGCAGTACGCCAGAGGGTCTGGAACCAGACTGTTGCTGGAACCTCCAAGCGTACTGTTGGGGCGGGTATTCGCGGTAAAACAAGAAGACTGCCCTACTGTTAAAACCCTGCTCCCGACACTTGGAAAGAGGGATTGTTTTCAAACTGAAAGCTAAAGCATTGTTTCTTCTGCATAGGCCCCTCAGCGCGCGAGTCAACCAATTCTACATATTGTCTGCCTTCATAGTTCAAAATAATGTATGTGTGCTTCCAAATGTGCACATAGCACCCATCATGCTGCACAGCATTGTTCCCATTTTGTTGAGTCTGCAGATTTCTGTGGTAGTCGACTTTTGTAAAAATTTCTGCCAGTGACAAAGGTACGACTCGTGCCATGCTGCGTACATCTGCGTACCATGCGCATGTCAACTGCCAGAAGGCATTGAACATTTGACAACATGTCTGCGCTTAGAATAATCATAGAATTGGATGATGGGAAAATTTACAGGAAAGCCCTATATTTGATGGTAAACACGATGGTTTCCTGTAGATTTTCCCTTAAACCAATCCAATGAAATAAACAATGCCTAGAAACGAGCAATCGCATGGTCCGAGCCACTGACGTAACCTCGGCGTGGCTAAAAAAAAAACCTACTGCTCGTCGCATATTTGGACGTCCTAAACTGCAGTACCAACTTTGCTGGTACTTTTATTGAACACATCCAAAAGAAAAAATGGTGACATAATGACAGCTACTGACTCCTAAATTCTAGTAGAGAGAGAGAGATATATATATATATAGGATCATGTAAATGCTATGTCCTGCAGGCGCACAATATGGTTGACCTGCCTGTGCATCCCATCTGTGACGCTGCCAAGGACGGAGGTGGCCTCAACAACAATTGACACCTGTTCAAAGACTGCACAAGACAAACATGTTGGGGAAACCGTGCCACGTACCAAATTATCCTGCATGTATACATATTATATATATATATATACATAGAGAGAGAGAGAATGAATATATTTATATAATTATATACAATAGTATTAATAATATTAAATATTATACAATATATAAACATACCAGGATCCTGTTCAAGAAAGTGAAGCGAAACATTGCTGAGATCTGCTGAATACAACGATCCACTGCATCAACACGACAAATGCTTCTTATGCTCCAGACACAGAAAGTCTCTCCGCTTTCCATAGCTTTCCATCAAAGGGTGACTGGAGTCTGGAGTACCCCCAGCACATCTCCAGTCATGTACACAAGCAAGCCTTGATTTCAAAATGATTTCAATACATGTTCAGTCCTTCCGAGTCCTTCCTCCATTCAAATCGGTCTCCAAAGCTGTTCCCTCCGGGCGCCCCTGCTACCGGTGGCAAGGCTCCACCACGAGGGTGTTTTTTGGCCTTCCTTGAATTGTGAGTAAGACGCGTTGGTTGTTAGACAAAATGATATTGGTGTCTGAAGCTTCACATGAAGTTCCTGTGCATCAAGAAGTCAAATATTAAATAAAGTGTGTGAAGGAGTGTGGGACAGTCTGCTTCAAAAAAGTTGTTTTTTTCCTTTTTTTTTCGTGCTTTGCACAACCAACTGGTATATTCACTGAGGTCAGCACCCAGACCAACCAACTGCCACAGGCTGTGCCACAGCTTGCTTAAATCCATAGGCCAGGCTCTGCTCACCCTGGATCAGACATCATGGGACATCGATTCACATCGACGGGATATGAATGGACCGAAGGGACATATATTATGGGATATGAATCGGATATGAATGGGCTCTCTGCAGTTTGAAGGCTCCGGAGTTCTTTATTGCAATTCAACCTGTGTCCACAGGTCACGATGGTTGGTCACGACCCATGTACTCCAACATCTCACTCACATCACAGCACTGATATTACTCGACCTCAGCAATAAGGGTCGCAAAGTCCTCCGTCTCAAGGAGTACACCCTGCAATGATTGGAGATGCGGAAAAAATGGAAAAACAAATCTTCATATCTGACACGCACATACGTACATTACATACATTACATACATTACATACATTACATACATTACATTACATTACATTACATTACAGTACAGTACATTACATTACATTACATTACATACCTTACATCACATCACATCACATTACAGTACATTACACTACACTACATTACATTACATTACATTTCATTACATTTCATTACATTTCATTACATTTCATTACATTTCATTACATTTCATTACATTTCATTACATTTCATTACATTTCATTACATTTCATTACATTTCATTACATTTCATTACATTTCATTACATTTCATTACATTTCATTACATTTCATTACATACATACATACATACATACATTACATACATACATACATACATTACATACCTTACATACATACATACATTACATACCTTACATACCTTACATACCTTACATACCTTACATACATTACATACATTACATGCATTATATACATTACATACACTACATACATTATATACATTACATACATTACATACATTACATACATTACATACATTACGTACATTACATACATTACATACATTACATACATTACATACATTACGTACATTACATACATTACATGCATTACACAAATACATACATACATTACATTACATTACATTACAGTACAGTACATTACACTACATTACATTACATTGCATTACATACATACATACATTACATACATTACATACATTACATACCTTACATATATTACATACACTATATACATTACATACACTACATACATTATATACATTACATACATTACATACATTACATACATTACATACATTATATACATTACATACATTGCATACATTACATACATTACATACATTACATTACATTACATTACATTGCATTGCATTGCATTGCATTACATTACATTACATACATACATTACATTACATACATAATAAAATGTAACATAACAAAACATAACATAACATAACAAAACATTTACATACATACAATGCAATACAATCCAATCCAATGCAATACACTACAATACAGTACAATACAATACAATACAGACAAGACAATACAATACAGTACAGTATAATACAATACAATACCAATACCAATACAATACAATACAATGCAATACAATACATACCTAACATAACATAACATAACATAACACAACATTACATTACATTACATTACATTACATTACATTACATTACATTACATTACATTACATTGCATTACATACATTACATACATTACATTACATTACATTACATACATAACAATACAATACAATACAATACCATACCATACCATACCATACCATACCATACATACATAGACACACACTGTTCATTTTGGGAATTTGTAAACTTCAATGATGATGTTCTTGTACACGCCTGGCCAGATTCCTGGGTCCATCATCGGTGAGAAACAGGTGAAACCAATGTTCCAGTATGATTGTTGGTGTAGGATCTCATATATCAGCTACCTATTCTGGAAGTCTAGCGTCAAATGTCACAGAACTTGCACGTAGCTACCTTCGGTTCAAAGAACACTGCAAATTGAGGCAAACCGGGCAAATCTAGAATGAAATCATGTAGAACCACAGAACTGGACAGCTTGTTCAACAGTTCAAACTGCATTTCGCAGGTACAGCCTCCCCTTCCCACCAATGGCAATAGCTTCGTTGCGTGCAGTATGCCAAAGGTGCTGCACGCCCCTGCTGTTATGTGCATTGAATTAAGCTACAATGAATTTACACGTAGCACAGCTGAACGCAGGTTGTTGATAAAATTGTCGCTCATGTTCACCGAAACTCCATCTTTGGTTTAAACGATAGTAAGTTTCCTGCATGTGAATAGCAGGGTACACACACACATTTCCGTTCAAAGCACTCCAGTATCTTCTCCTAATCGTTTCCGAATCTATTTCATGTCAATACTTCAGATCGAACTAATGGACATGAACCTCTCGACCATTTCTTGAAACATGACGATTTCGTGTGCCTCTTCTCTCGCCATGCCATCATTGAGGTCCAAATAGAGATCATCGAGCTCTTGAGCCTTCGAGGAACAGCAGTGACAAGAACGATAACAGAAGGAAAATGAAAAAAAGATCAGGGATCAGGGAAAAAGAATGCTAGTGCGGGTTGTATCAAAAAGTCATGGTTGATATATGTTGATATCTTGTGAACTTGGTCAGTCATGTCTGCCGAGCTTGCAATTTGCCAGCAATCCCAGCTCGCCTCCAACCATGGCACTTGGCGATTTTGAAGCATGGCTGGTACAGTGGGCTGGATCAACATGCTTCTGAACAGGAGGTGGGGCCCGAAAAGGCAACTGGTTCTGTGCCATCCGACCATCACTTGAAACAAATTCTACTAGGCCAATCTAGGCCATAGTTTCACCTTTGCTGGACGTACTCAAACATTATATCATGTTATAACATTGTGCAACAGTGTGAGGCATGCGCACCATCCAGTTGGAAGAGCTCGTGTTATGGTGACAGCTGCGTAGCTGCCTAGCTGCCTAGCTGCCTAGCTGGCTGTGTGTATGGCAAATCAAAAGGGCCTGCAGCACATGTCAGTGTGAAGGCTGCATGTCAAGTGCCTTCTACCTACCTGGACCTTCATTTCTTGCAGAGATTTTCGATTGTATCTCTCCTGGGATTTTCATTGGGCGTCTATTGCGGAGTCTATCCATTTGCTCAACCCCAGCATAAAATTCTGAGAGGTGCACCAGGGAAATGCTCAGGCGCTGGAAGCTCCAGGAGATTTTGCTTCGGCATATTTCGGCATGCTTCGGCTTTGGGCAGGAAATCTTCCAACATACCGTTCCCATCCGATGAAAATAACCCGATCTTGAAATCCCTCTGTTTCTGATGACCCTCGCCCATCTCTTGGCATCAAAATGCGACTCAAGGCAGTAAGGTTGTTGCTTTGTTTTAGATGATTTAGACGGCTGTAGAAACATGTCCAACAGCTGTGATGTTGGAGTTGGCGCTTTCTTCTCAACTGGCTCTGGAGAATCTTCGAAGATTTTGTCGAGATCGAGTCAAACGATCCAAGTGTCAATTTCGCTCTGAAGCCCAGATAGCTTGGAATGATTTGTAAAGATGCAAATGTGGATCAGGAAACAACAGTATCAGGTTGAATCAGGTCGCTTTTCGCTAGAAAACTCAGACTTGGTGGTTAGACAATCAAAAGTCATTCTATCGCTTGCTAGATCGCATAAACATGCATAAACGAGATTAACTCAGATTGTCATCCATTTATCTCATACCCTTGCCAGCTCGTGCCTACATCTACGCGCTCGGAGGTCGTGGGGCTGTATTCACCTGATCAAGAACTGGTATCACCAGTGACAGCAGCCACATCAAATGCAAAGTTTAATTTAAGTTTGGGGTCCAATAAATCTGCAGGGTGTCTCTATCGCATGATTGCAACAATATTTCAACCCCATCAAGAAAAACCATTGCCAAATTGTGGAGAACCCCCGGTCTTTGGACAACCCAAATCTGAAAAGAGGCCCAAGGCCATCCAAGGCCTGCCCTGCCCAAGGCCTTCCGAACTGCCACGAAGAGCTGTGACCACGTCAACAAAACGACCTGATTCGATTCCATCGTAGAACGTTTCGAGATATTTTGAGTGTTAGCTTGAAGGGAGCAAGCTTTAAATATGAACAGTTACACAAGTATTACCGACATCTACAACATATATGTATAATTCTATATATATATAGTCTATATATATATATATACCGTACCCATATTCCGAGTTCCCATCCTTGAAAAGGACAAAGCAACTGATCCAGTTGCAACATGAAGTGACGACCGTTTGTCCAGTCCATGTCCAGTCCGTGTCCTCCTGTGGCATCCGCCAAATCTGATCAAAGGTGTGGATCCTGAGGCCATGCTGGCTGGGCTCCAACAATGGCTGGTTGGTGGTTGAGCCTACCAATAATGTCCTTTTGGTAAAAATAGAGGGGCCGATTTGGTATACCATCTATTATCATTTACCTGTTGTTAAAGGGGTAAACAAACCCCTCTATTAACCAACCAACCAATGGGAAAAGGACATCTATGGGCTGAGCCTACCCCTCTGAAAAATGATGGAGTTCGGAAATGTTGGGATGATGACATTCCCAATATGATGGGAAAAATAAAATTCATGTTCCAAACCACCAAGCAGATGGGGTATGGATGGGTATGGATGGGTATGGTGTATACCCCCAAAATGGCAATTGTGATGGGGAAAATGGCGATCACACTATTTTAAGACAAAACCCGGGACCCCAATGATATCGCATCTCCATGTATCTCAATATATATAATATATCATAATATATCTCAATGTATCGTCTCAATCAGCAGTTGCCTGCGGCGTGCTATAAAATTCACATGTAATTCTTCAAATACTCCAGTGCCATCAAAGATCAGCTTCATGCTTCTAGTCAAAGGAAATTCAATGGATTCTGACTCTGCAAACAAAGATAAACAAAGATTCCATAGTTGCAATCTTGGGTGTGGAAGGGAACAACAAATAAGAGAACAACAGTCTTGAAGAGAATAAATCGAACACATCTCGATGTCCAGTCTTTCTAAGAGCAACAAATGCAAGTCGTCTCTGATGGCAACCCCTTAGATCCAAGCCCTTTTCTCTTCTGGCAGCATCCACCCACCTGGCAGGATACTGGCCGTTGCCACCATGGTGCAGGTGGAGCCAGAGATACCATACGATCCATCAACTCGCGCATGGAATTACCCTCTGGTAAACGTTTACATAACTGTGGAAAATCACCATGTTCAATGGGTAAATCCACTATAAATGACCATTTTCAATAGCTATGTTAAATTACCAGAGGGTAATGAAAAAAGTCATGGTGCCGCAAGAATCAGTGACTCAGTGGGTGTCATATTAATGCCGAAAAATGTTGAAAATTCCCTGCAAAAAATGCTAAAATGGCAGTGGAGGTAAACCCCTCCAATGTGGTTCGACACGCCTCAAGCTGGACACCTCATCACCATCCTTGAAGTTTGCCTGAGAAAAGGTCCAGCTGAAAATCATAAAGAACATCCTGAAATGCAGGTTGTCGTCCGACAGTGCCTGAGAAATTCCGATTGATACTGGATCACTTGTGGATTGATTTCACTGCAGGAAACTGCTTCAACAGAGACTTACAGTAAGTGAACCATAGTGAACCAAAAAAACTTTAACACTTGTCTCAGCAAGCTGTGAATGATGCCTTTGCCATTCTGTAGCAAGTCTTCACTGGTATCCTTGGTAGCAAAAGTTGCGCATCAAGACTCATCTCGACTTCATGGACCAACTCATGACATCAGTTGCAGCATGTTGCAACGATTTCTTCTCCAACCGTTGTGGATACCTTTGGATTGTGTGGCTCAATAGTATTCAATAGTTCTGTTTCCCTGTCAAATTCATTTCTTACCACCCTGCGCGTCGCATCTTCCGCATGGCTGCTTTGACTCGCAAACCCTGTGCTGCCAGTCACTTTTGGAAATGATTGCGTTTCTATGATTTCCCCACACAACAAACAACTCGATGCGCAACAGCTCATGGGTGGGAAAGAAAATGGTTCATCAACTGGAGGTTCCATTGGAATCCTTAGCACCTCTTCCATTTCAACTAACACGAAGCCTGTCCAAACCCCCAGCCACAGCTCTAGAGCTCCTGGCCACAGACCCTCATCGGCAGCTCGTTTGGCCCAATCCTCGGCCTCTTTCAAGAGACCAACCTGTAAGGGCGGTGGCAGAACAGCAGAACATGGAACACCCTATCACCTCAACTACACTCATGAAATGAGATGTGAAACATCCTCCCAAGTTGACATCGACATTGAGGGGGGTCAGCCAATAAGAATTGATGTGATGTGTCACACAGAAATACGAAGATCAGAACCAGATACTCTGATACTGTCAATTCAACCAACAACAGTATTATAACAAAAATAACGCTCGTGTAGTCGTATAGTCAAAATTACACCCCAAAAAAAGATGGACACGTAAAAAAACCTGTTTTAGCCGCATTCTAGTCTTCCATCTTCCTTGTTGTGATATGCTGTATAATTGTGTTTGCCATCATATTATGAATCATATGGCAGTGTGTCAAAACCTTGTACTCCTGGTGAACATCAAAATAGCTGGTAAATGGATGTTCATCCCACTAAAAATGGTATTAATAGGTATTGACCCATACCCATATTACACCAACTACACCTTCACATGTTTTGGTGCTCCGCTGCCTCTGCAGTTTGACGTATGATGCTATCATACCTGTAGCAGATTCCGGGATGGCATCAGGCGCTTCTTCGCCAAGGTCCAAGGTGGATATTTCTGGCCAAACATGGCCAGACCAAACTCAAGATAGGGCAATGAGCAAACAAAACATTGGGGGATTACACATCACATATGTTGGTTAAATGTTCTTAAGCTATTTAAGATGAATCAATCAGAAACAATGGGGAAGATCCACACAAGTCTGTGTTCAGGAAACGGGGCACAGGTCGCTGCGATCTCTCTTCTTCTCCAAGCAAGCCAAAAGCCGCTCCAGCAGGGAGTCCATGTTGGTGACCTTGATCCCAAGCTGATCATCTGTGACTCAAGCAGAACTTGCGACCACGATCCCCCCACAAAAAACTCAAGAGCTGCTTGCATTTTGCAGTCAGCTATCCAATACATTGCTGCAATACATGCTGTACCGACTTCAGGAACGGGCTCCTGTTTCCCCAACAAAGTCTTGGAAAAGCTGCCTGGCACGAGCAGCTTGGCCTGGAAATGATTGGCATCTGTTGCTTTCAAGAACGCCTGGACTGGATTCAAAGAGACGTGCTCCGAAGCACTGAAATCATCCCAAATCGCTTGGTTCAAAGTTAAATTCAATATCATGTTAGTCAATGTTAGTAATATACATATATATATATATGATTATATATATACATAATTAAACTATATTCAAATTATGAACCATAAATCACAAGGCCGCCACTTGCCTCACCACTATGGCAGTGTGGCTCCTGGGACAGCAAAGACATCCAAATGACGAGGGTTGCTCATGCACATCAAACAAAGCTTACTCTCCAAACGCCGGAACTAAGGTGGAGAAGAAAGTGTCTGTTGCTGTGTGCCAGTGGCATTGCAAAAACAGGTCAAACAGGTCGCAGGAAAAGAACTCAATGTTTATCAAGAGAAGAATAGACACGAGGACAAAAACCGTCGATGCTACCCAGTCCTCTTCACTTCGAAGCCTTTCTCTTTCATCCATTCGATCCTGGCGAAAGGCGACGAGTCGAGTGCGACCCAATTTGGTGAAACATTGAGCGAGGATGCTCCAAATGAACTGATACTGATCGCCCCGATTTAAATCAGAGCAGGGCAAACGTGAAGACACCACGTTTTCCATCACCACGCCGATTGCACCTGCATTTTCAGAGTGTGCCCCAATGTTAATGGAGCAAATGGAAGGCTCAAAAGTTTTTTGTGTCATTCTCTGGGAAGAGGAAGTCAGCCAGAGAATTCAGCAGGAGCATCATTTTCCTGGACTGAACAGGAGTTCTTCATATTTTCAGCCATCTTCGAACTGCGACGAATCTGGGCACCCATCTTAGGTGCCCGATTCGACGGGCTGCGGGCGACTCGTCCCAGAAAGGGAGGACAACAGCCCAATAAGCCAATAAGCTGCTCAAAAATCATGAGACGTCACGGTTGTCTTCTCTCATTGTCAGCCCCATAGGATGCAATGAGCTCCGCAATCTCATTCAAGCCTACGACATATCCAGCCCAAGTGCTCTGGGCATAATGTCACAGTGTTTTCACTCAGCTACTACGTATATTTGATGCTTCCCAGGTATGTGATGCACAAAAGCAAAATTAGCAAGTCACAACAAATAAAAGCAAGAAAGTGCAAACAGGATGTAGACATATAATATCTACAGTATATAATAATTGATTGATACAACCTGTGAGATGAGTTCAGGGCCCAGCTCTAGATCTTTATAGATCATCAAACACATTGTCTCGTTGCTCAGTTCAATATTCAGAAAGTTGAATCCTGCGTGCCTTGATTTTCTGCCCATGTCTGAGCAGTCTTTCCGTTTACTGCAGCACCTAGGACAGTGGACAGTGGTCCCTGATGTATCCTGATGCCTACATCTCACACTGGATCTTACGCCTTATGGTAGATCAAAAAAACATCAAAAAACGAGTCCAAGTCATAGAAATAGTTGATTTACCCAGCTAAATGGCGACTTTCCATGTTTCCATGACGTCCAACAAACGATTTCGGAATCACCTTCCTGTGGGTCGATTTCCTCTGCTCCGGTGCCGGGTGCACCTTGATCTGCTCCTGCGGCCAGCAGGACTTCCACGACTTGTCGATGCCCGCCACGTGCTGCGCCCATGAGAGCGGTGACCCCTGCTTTGGACGCCCTGGCTTTATCAAAAGCAGCGTACAACTGTGGTGATGTCTGGATTTAGTTTCAAGCTTAGAGATGTGTGGATGTTGGTCCACAATTCCAAGCCCATCCATAGGACATGATGACATTGTGGCAAAAGGCGTCGAGCATGGATTCTCACTGCGACATTCCGGCATCTCATCAAAAACAAACGACTGAATTATCATGGTTCTGTCCTGTTCACATCAGCACCTTTTTTGAGGAGAGCCTGGCAACAAGGGGAAGACGAAAGTAAGAAGGGTGCACAAGCCAAGCAAGATTCTGCTGTTGCGGTATACTGGGGAAAGAGATGGTCTCTCCAACCAAGCAGGGGCATCAGTTTGGAATAGTTTGGAACTGACATGTTTTATTTCTATTTCTTACAACTTGTGAGATGGGGATGGGTCAAAACCCTGTACCCCTGGTGAACATCAAAATAGCTGGTAAATGGATGTTCATCCCACTAAAAATGGTATTAATAGGTATTGATCCATTCCCAGATCATGTGAGACTGAAGATGAATCTTCAAGAACCCTTTGGTTGCAGCAGGCAGAGCAACGGGCCCCCCCATGGATGCCCCAGAAGTTCCCTTCGCAACTCGCAACCTCGCACCTGCACAACCTCAACATGGCCGTTTTGCGCCGCGAAGTGCAGTGGCAACCAATGGTCGGCAGCGGATGCCTGGAACTGCGATCAAGATATCTCCAGATCAAACCAAACAAGAAACATCATGAAACATCAATAGGTGATCCTCTGGCTGAGGGAAGCAAAGATGACAATCTTATGGAACTTTTGCTGTTATCCAGTGGCCAGGGTCGAAAAATCAAGTCATCTCTCACTTAAATATTAGTGTAAACTTCTACTGAATCTACTCTGGCTGTCTTTTTGTTGCTTCACTGGAAAAGGCATGTTTCTGCACCGTTGGTTGCCACTCCTCTACTGGGATCTTCTCCAGCAACACCTGCAATGGAATCTCTGGAGAATACACTGAGGGGTGTAGTTTCCTCTCCTCTCGAAATGATTCTGACGGATTCAAAGTGAGATCTGCAAATCACATCTGCAGAACTGAACTGTCAATCTCTCACAAAGCGGGTTCAAGCAAATCAGCTGTTCATGGCATGAAATCAGCAATTTTTTTGTTGAACATATTCCTTTTTTCCGGAATTTTCCAGATTGCCAGGGCATATTTATTTTTCCTACACATCCCCAGATTGCCAGCCCATGTCCAATGCAAGTCCGACGTGCCTCTGATGCCGCCAAATGTCCAAAGGTTGCTGCCCAGTGCAAAGCACTTCGACCCTTCAAATCTCGACCTTTCCGTGATCATCTTGGGGGATCTTTTTCGAGGTCTCCGAATAGGTTCTGCCGCGGCTCGGGGTTCATGAAAAAACCAAACTGCCGCATGAGATACGGCTCTGAGATACCAGCAGATGTAAGAATATATTAAGATATCATATATCAATAGGTCGATATTGTAAGTAGTATATTTCCGGAGTTTGTCAGGCATTGTTTTTTTTCAAAAGAAACACAGAACCAATTGAGCTCAATTGTGCCAGCCACTTCCTCCCAGGCAGCGGCCTTCAGCGTTGGCGCCTGCCTCCAACAAAACTTGCAGAGCTGCTGTCTGCCCCTGACGCGCTGCCCAGTGAAGGCCTTGCAGACCATCAGCATCCGACAAAGCCACATCCGCTCCCTGCAATGATGATGGAGAATGGCGGGAAATCAATGGATAAAGCGTACGATCCTTTGGTTGCTGATGTTCTACTAGAACTTCCAGAAACATGACTACCATGAGAAGGGAATGCATGCTGTAAAGGGTAGCTTCTTTAAAGTTCATTGCTGCAGTGCCAAATTTCTCCATTGGTGCCAACTGTGGCAGTCCGCCATGGTTTCTCTTCCAAGAAAAAAAGAGCGCTGGTTCGGGTCATGCCAGGTCATGTTGGGTCACCAAAAAACACAATCCAAAACCACAATAAAAATCCATAAATAGTAGGCCACATAGAACCGGATCAAACCATAATATGAAATCATACAAAACCATATCAAATTTCCACGGGTCTCCATGGTGTGTCTCCTGTCTCCATGCCTTTCCCAGTTGTCTCCGCAGCTCATCAGCATCGCCAAGCTCAGCTGCACGCAGCAGGGAGGCTGGGGAGACATCCCACTCCTGCATTTCAAAAACACAGTGGTGCATAATATAATATCGATAGTATATGATTATCATTGTATATATATATCACAATATAACAATATAGTATCATATATGATAATATTGAATATATTAGTGATAATATATATATATGTATATATATATATATGTATATATATATATATTATAGAGGAAAGATAAGAAAAAGAGTGTGCCAGGGAGGCCAAGATTGCCTCATAAATAAATCAATTTAGTGAACAGGTGAGCTGCGGAGTTGTACAGAACACCAGTCTTCTCTCCTCTTCCTCGAGGTTTCCAACGATGGGGTACTTGCTCTTGAATGACATCACCTCCAAGAGCCGCAATCCGAGGCGATCTGGAATCGGCTTACCCCATCCCTTTGCCAACCTCTGCCAGATTTGCCAGATTTATCTCGAGGCACATTTGGGGATGAAGCCAAGCCAAGTCACCCAAGCTGAAAGAAATGCCTTCTCTGCCATATTTAATGGCTGCGACCGTAACTCCACTGATTCCTGCGGTGTTGAGGCAGCTGGGTGCATGGCTGGGTTACAGCATGGCTGGGTGCTACGCATAAAGAAATACGGAAAACCCAGGACCCTTGCGTAGAGATTCTGAATGATTCTGAGCTCCCATGCGAAGATCTAATTAGTCTGAAAACTTCATGGGTTCACACTTTATCCCAATCCCAAACCATACATTGGGCAAGCTGCCACTGTCACGTCGTTCCTCCTCCAGTGAGTTCTTGCCCAAAAACCGGGTCGCATCCCTTCCGGCCAACACCGCATATCTCCCGCCAGGGCCATAAAGCTTCCTGCATGTCATGAAGGCTTCAATCCCTTGGGTGAAGCTGGGTGAAGTCAATCAATATCCCCGCATTTATAGGATTTTATAGGTAATATAGATGTAATATAGGAATCCCTCATGATCAAAAGCCTTGCATATGGACCACTATTGACTGACCACAGACCCCACTTGATAGACTTCTGAGTTCAAGCTATCTCGACTCGTCCCCCTACAACCAAGCAAGCCAAACAGCCAGCAAAACAGCATCAAAATAGTTTTTTATAAGAGTCTTGACAGAATCCAATCAGAAGCAATGCCCAAACTATGCCCAAACTACTTGGAACTACTTGTGATCCTGTTCCAAGCGCTTCCCAATTCCCAACACATTACCACAGCGTCCGTTCCGAATCGTTCCGAGACGTGCGGTTCATAAAATGTCATACCACAGCCTGGCCGAAGAGACGTCAAAAACCAAGCCATCAGCTGCCAGAAGAATTACATCACCAGAACCTGAAGCGAGGCAACACTTCGCAGAACTTCCAGTCCATAAACTAAAAACATCTTAAAACTCCTTGAACTTTAAACACCTATATAGCGCGGAAGACACCATTGGGTATGCGAACTGTGTAAGCTCACTCTCTACAGCTGTAGTCTCTGTCAGTTTTCGTATCTCCATCTGCCCAATCTGCCGTGGAGCTGCCATCAAACTGCTGCAGTTCGGCTTTTCGCCACACTTTCTTTGGCGTGGACGCTGCAGATACGCCGCCGTCGCCGCCTGAATCGCCTTTGGCAATCTCTGCAAGTCAGTGGCTAAAGCATGCTAAAGCAACCTCCATTTTTGTCAGAAAGCACCTAAAATATGTGGTATGTATGTGAACGATTCTCAGTCACCTCAACAACGATAAACATTCATAGCGGGGTTACCCAGCCAGCCATGTTTGAGGACACCAGAGGGCAATATTCCCCATTATATTCCCATTAGACAACCATTACATTTCCATTCTATCCCGATTATAGTTGGTATTTCCAATATTTTTCAAATTGTTGCCACGATTTTGCCAAGGCCTCGACGGTTGGCTCCCACAAAAGCAGCTGCAGCCACAGCCAGAGCTACCGGCCCCCAAAACTCATCGGGTCCTGGAAGAGGGTATGATGCTATGTCTCAAAGGCACCTGTGTTTCTGGTTGCATTTCTCAGTTGATCCCAAAAAATAGCATCCATATATTCTTTATTAGATATGTACTGTATGTACATATATATATATATATTTATATATATATATACATATATATATATATATACATATATATATATACATTGTGAACGATCTCATTTCACTTCCATGCCTGTCAGGGTTTCTTGGAAGGCCACACAGCCTTGCGAATATCCTGCGATTGCCGCAGGGATCACCGGCTCAGAGAGCCCTTAGGCGCAGTGGAGGGTGGGTTTTCCGATCCCAGTGGAGAGCCATATCAGGGTGCTGCAGAAGGCCGAGGCAGGCCATTTTTTTTTTGGCAACTGAAGCTGTGGTGACAGCTTAGGCAGTTTGGGTGAAAACAGAGCTGCGAGGCCGCAGCGGCTTGGTGTTTGTGGCGGGGCCCACGTTCGTGTTTTTCTGGTTGAGGTGCTACCGGATTTACATTGGTAGCGGAGCCCCCGACAGCCGTCGGGGGTATCCAGGAAGCTACCTTGGTGCAAAGCTGACGATTTGCCTGCGGCACAACCGAGCAGGTGAGTCAGTGCCATGCCGTCGGGTAGTGACGGAGCATCTGGAACGGAAGCATCCGAAGCTGTCGGGGGGACCATCTCTTCACAGCTTGCCTACCTGGTGCCCAGTTTTGATCCGAGTAAAGACGATTTGCAACTCTATCAGCAGAAGGTCCAACTTGTGTTTGCAGTCTGGCCTCCATCCAAATTGTCGGAGTTGATCACACGGTTGATACTGAATACGTCAGGGACAGCATTCTCCAAGTTGCAGCTGCATCATGCCGAGCTGTGCATCAATGAGGAGAAAGGTATCAAACGTTTGATCGAGCTTCTTGGAGGCCACTGGGGAAAGACAGGGTTGGAACGAAGATACTCAGATGCCGAAAAGGCCCTTTTTCAGTGTTCTCAGCTTGGAGATGAAAGCCATGATAGCTACCTAGCACGTGCAGATGTTCTCTGGACGCGTCTTTTGGCGCAGAAACTGACCTTTGAAGACCTCCAGGCGTATGTGACCCTTAGGGGAGCCCAGCTGTCAAGCGATGACAAGAAACGGGTAATCATTGACAGTGACAATTCCCTGGAAGGAAAACTAACCATGGTCAAGGTGACGGAGTCCATTCGTATGTTGGGGACGTCCTTTTTCCAAGAAATGACAGGTGCCGGCAAAAAAGGTGCCAAATCGAAGGTGTACGATCAGTCAATTTTGGTCGCTGAGGATGAACCAACAGGTGATACTGAGGATTCCATTCACGTTGCAGGTCATGACGAAGTTGCCGAAGATGACTTCATTGAGAGTCTGGCCCAGGAGGGCGATGAGGACGCAGTGTTCGTAGCAGATTTCGAAACAGCAGCAACAGATGTGATTCAAGGTGACGAAGACTTAGCTGCAGCTTTTTCCTCGTACATAGAAGCCCGCAGAAAGCTGAGTGAGAAATACCGAGCAAGGGGTTTTTGGCCCATCTCCTCCAAGGGGAAATCTAAGGGATTCAAAGGAAAATCCAAAGGCAAGCCAGCCTGGAACAACCGGAAGACACTGCAGCAGCGCATCTTAGAGAGCAACTGCCGAATTTGCGGCCGCAAAGGCCACTGGAAGAGCGAGTGCCCGAATCGAAGCCAATCCAATTCAAGTGCATCCGCCTCGACGGTCCCTGTAACTCTCTCCATGGGGGTCGCATCGACAGCTGCCAGTGATGTGATGTTTGCAGAGTTCATGAGTCTTCCCGAAGTCCAACCTCCCGCACAGGACAATGTCGGAACCCACGCATTGAGTTTTGTACAGGCAGTTTTGTTCAATGCTTCAGGTGAAGTCCACGGTAAGGGAAATCCAATGAACATGAGGGATGTAAGAAATAGAATTAAGGACCGGATTAAGGGTAATCATGGTAATAATTCTAAAGTTGCCTCCCTGGTGCACAGGATTGAGAGCCGCCTGGCTTCAGCACCTGATCGGTCAACTGTGAACCGGCATGCATCCGTGTACAGAAAGCCGTTTTTGCAGACCAAGTGTTCCATGTCTCCGTGCCGCCCGAAAGTCAGCAAGTCCATTTTGGACCAATCCCATGAAACAAAGTCCATTTTGGACCCAAAGCCTGCACCGAAGGTACGTGAGCCGAAGAGCCCAATGCCCAAGGTCAACGATGTTGCCGCCGAGATACTCTTCTCGACCCATGACACCTGGGGAATCCTAGACACGGGGGCCACCAAAACAGTTATGGGTAGTGATTTTGTATCTGGGTTTTTGCAAAATGTTCCTGCCAAAGTCAAAAGCCAAATCCGTCGATGTCCCTGTGATGTGACTTTCAGGTTTGGAAATCAAGGAACTCTCAAATCAGAGCATGCGATGGTGGTGCCAGTGTGTGGGTTTGACCTCAAGATAGCGATAGTTCCCGGTGCCACACCCTTTCTAGTTTCAAATACGCTTTTGAGAGCCTTGGAAGCCATGGTGGATACGAGTGCCAACCAGTCGATACTTCCCAAGCATCATCGAAAGATTCCCTTGAAGCTTTCCAATAAGGGTTTGTATCTTATTGATATGAATAAGTTGTTTGAAGTGTCCACCCAAAAGAAAGGTTCCAGCTTGACAGCAGAGACTTTTGCCCAGGACGTTTCCGAAAACGCCCCAGAAAAGGATGCTGTGCAGCCCAACATGCAATCTCCAAGGGTAGCCACACAGTCATGCACACAGGCAGGTGAGGTGAGTTCGAAAGAAACAAGCTCAATTGACACTCACAACACAAGTGAAACATGTCAATCAATACATTCAACGTCCATGACCACATGCTCCAAGTATACGTCCACACACAACATGATGTCAAGTTCAAATCAGCCTGAAAACTCTCAGCATGAAAAGCAAGTGATGCAGACTGAGAGATCTGGATCTCAAACCGTAGCTCAGAACGAATCTCTCACGAAACCGTCCAGCAGTCATGAGCGACTGGTCCAAGCGTCTCCAACGTGTGCAAGCGGAGATGCCGAGCCAGGAAGTCGAGAGCATCGACCACCTGACCTTGGAGACACTCCAGTCAGAGAAGGTGCGTTTTGGGAAGGCTCATCAAGGGAAGACATATGCCGAAGTGTGGGACAGTGCGCCCGACTGGATCAAATGGTTCTTGGGGCACTACCAAGAGAGCAAGGATCTGGAGCACAGAAAGATGATCAAGTTCATCAAACTCAAGATCGAGGCAGAGGAGACCGAGGGAGAACAACCAGTACAAGCACGTCCCAAGGCAAAGGCCGCTCCCAAGATCTTGACGGCGGCGTCCAAGAGTCGTCCTGCTCCACATCCCGATGCCTGTCCCGAGGAGCCAACAAGTGCAGAGATGAGCAGCCTCCAAGCTCGAATGACCCATCTCGAGCATGCGCTGCATCAGATCTTAGTGCACTTGACGCCCAACGTGCCAGCAGATCCGGTGCCATCGACCATGGAGGACGACCTCCCGGTGCTCCCTCTGGCATCGGAATGGGAGGATCCCTGGACAGCATGAGATCGCATGAAGAGGACTGCAACTGGGCGCTCACAGCAGGTGAAATTGATGTTTTTCATGAAAGTCAAAGCAATCAAGAACGTAGGTACTTTCAAAACTTGGTATCCATGATGGAAAAAGAACTTAAGATGTGTGAAGAAAACACCAAGGTTATTGGACCACCAATTGACATGTTGGAAGTATTCTGCAGTTCCGAAAGTACCCTGACGAATCAAGTAAATCAATTGGGAGGCAAAGCAATGCGCTTCGGTCTTGACCAAGGCAATCTGCAGGAAGCTGAGGGCAGAAAGAAACTGTTCGGCATGGTCTGCCGACATCGACCCAAGCATGTCTGGGTAAGTCCCACGTGTAAACCATGGTCTAAATGGTCATGCCTCAACAGCCAGAAGTCACTTGAGCAGTGGGATCGCATAAACCTGGAAAGGAAAGACATGCTTAGTCAAGTAGCTCTTTGCCTGGTCTTATGCAGACATCAGCACCGATGCAGACGCCATGCACACTGGGAACAGCCCAAAGGATCTCTGATGTTCCTGTTGCCATTTCTAAGTGAACTTGACCGATACATGCTCATTGCCAAGCCCGACATGTGTGTTGCAGGAGAACTTCACGACCCCGTTAATGACAAACTCATGAAAAAAGGAATGCATATCAAAACCACTTCTCGAAACATGCAGAAGCTTTTGGACCCTTTAAGGTGCCCCGGATCCCATGATCATCAGCCCATTGAGGGAACTACCAGAGTGCATGGCCACGGAATTGCAAGATCCGAATTTTCCGAAAGGTATCCACGGAAGTTTGCACGACTGGTAGCAAAGGGAGTCCTCAAGAAAAGTTTTCCCATTGAACTTCCAGTAGGCAGCATTGCAGACTCAGCATTGGTAGCCTTGGATCAGTGGTTTCAGCTCAGCAGCGCATTGGCCGTGGAATCCCGCCTGACCAAAAGGGCCAAGCTTTCGTCACCACGACAGCAGAAAGCCAAGTCCGCAGACAGACCACTCAGCGATCAAGCATGTGTCAAGCGCCGAAGATTTAAATCATCCGAGCCAAGTGAAGCAGGTCCCTCCGAAGTTCCAGTAACCACCCAAGAAAGTACAGGGGACTTAACAGAGATTGTAAGGATGATAAAACCCATGCTTCCTCGCGTTGGAAAGAAAATCATAGACCAATCCCAAATACTTGAAAGTATTCAAAAGGTATTTCCCGAGAAGATCATCAAGGGGGTAATTGCATGTAAAGGGACTGAGCGAACGATGGCACCCCCAAAAGAAATCAGTTCCAAAGAAGCACCATTTCGCCGATCAATCATGAAACTCCGAAGTTCAGGAAAGACAATCACCGACAGTTGGGAAAATATGATGAACTATCAAAACGAAGAATAATTAGAAAATCATATCCCTGCCGAGTGAATATAACTGTCTTTGCGGCCAATCCTGTGACAGGGCTTCCCGATGTAGAAAGCAGCTCATCAGAAGCACAAGTTCCGCCACGGGACATCGATTCACCATCCCGGATGGAGAGTCCTCCAAGTTCCCTAGATCCCGCAGCAGACACATCCAAGATCATGATCAGAACTGAAGGTGAGAAAGGAGACACAAGCACAGACAAATCAGAATTCTCAGGTGAAAATTCCAATGTGCCTGCACCTGGATCAACAATCCAAATGGACTCAGGTGAATCAAAGAGCAAGGACAATAGATTCTTGTCTTTGCCCCGTGAAGAACAGGCGATGCTACGTCGAGCCCACCAGAATTTGTGCCACCCAAGCCCAGAACAGTTGAGCATGGTCCTGAGAAACCAAGGAGCCAGGCCAGAGATCACTCAGGTAGTGTTCGACATGCCATGTGAGACTTGTGCATCTCATAAACAACCCAAAATTGCCCGACCAAGTACCCTTAAGCATGAACTGGACTTCAATGATAAGATTTTCATCGATGGGGTAACATGGAAAAGCAAGGCTGGAAAGATGTTTCATTTCTATCACATTCTGGATCAGGCAACCAACTATCATGTGGCCACTCCAGCTCCGAACCGTGCCGCGGACCAAGCCGCACAAAGTGTCTCAGAAAATTGGTTCCAATGGGCCGGACCGCCTAACATGATCGTCACTGATGCCGG